AACCACAACAAAAAAAACACCTTTCTGGCCACAGAGTGATTGTAAATCAGAGTTTGTCAGAGTGCACTTGTGATGCCATTCTTCCCCAGCTCCTGAGAGCCACGAACACACCGACAGAATGAGAAGGACCCTGAAGCCGCAGGGCATTTCTCACATTGCCACACACAAAGCCAGGTGGGAAACTTTCGGGGTTTGAAAGGCTTTTATCCTTCCAGGTTTTKTCATTCCATTCCTTCCTCCGTGCAGCAGACAGCAAAACCAGCTCCTGAGCTTAGCAGCTGATCCCAAATGCTGTATTCCAGGGTAAAGAGATCCCATTTGTGCCCAGAGATGGCAAAAAGATGCTGCAGCCCCTGTTAGCAGTGACCAGAGTGACATCCACGTGCTGCATGATGCTGTCATTGCCTTGTAGATCAGCTGTGCCTTTCCAAGGTCATGTTTGTGCCTCTCCCTGCTGCCATGGAAATCTCACAGGRTGCTTTTGCGAGATCAGAGAGGGAGTACACAAAGCTTTGCAGGAAATTCTTTGTTAAAGGGAGGAAAAGCAAACTCTACTGACAGAGAGAGTCTCCCAGAATTGAACTGTTTCCTGAAGAGGGCATCTTTCAGAAACAGAACTAGAGGAGAAGTCATAAAGAGTTTGATGAATTCCTGCCTCCAGTCCTGCACAGCAACACCTTGGAGAGGATCAAGACCAGGGGTTGTGCCACACCCTGTCCCTTCCCTAAGAAAATGGGATAATTCCCATGGGATAACTCTCATGATCTCCTTTCTGATGGATCAGGAGGTCTACTGAGGTTTTTAGGCATCTCATTTTGAGCAGGGCACTGGAGGAGATGGGAGCTGGGAAGGTGGGTCCTGTGCTGACAAACACCAGAGGAGAGCTGTGGTGGTGGTGGTGACATTGCACAGAGGAAAACTGAGACAAAGCATCCCAGGGGATTCCACTCAGCAATAAAATGAGGTTTCTGCGGTGTCTGGAGTGGAAGGGACAGAGACCTGGGGCCAGCAGGACYGGTCAAGGCTCCATGAGAGGGAGCAGAACCTCCCTGGTTGGGATAACCAGCCCTGGGCTGCCTTTCCTCACCCCTTCACCACCAAGCACAGGACAACAAACCCTCCGGCTCCTCGGCACATTTTCCTGTAGTTTTACAGAAAATCCTGAATGCTGGTAGATGAAAAACTATTAATGGATTTTCCGAGTGCAACAGCAGGTCAGGACATCTGAGGAAGGGCATCTCCACCAGCACAAAGGTGACACTTCACCCAGCACTAGGGAAGGGGTGGGAGGGAAGGGGGAAGTCACAGTAGTATAAAGACACGACTTGTGGAACCAGGAAGGAATTAAGGGGCTTTCTATTTGTATTCTCCTGAGCTCCATGTGCCTGCAAGTGCTTCTTGGTCACACCACCAGCCAGGCAGCATTTGTAGCTCTGTGTTAAGCCCCAAACTCCAGCTCAGCTCAGTCAGTGGCAGTGACTGAGCTCCCCCAGCCTCATCTGGAGAAAGTTTGGTGCATTTGCTATCAGGCACCAAACCCACAAAGTCCCAAAGGTGTTTAAAGCACAGCTGACCCCATGACCAAAACCCTAAATCCTCCCCAGATTTGGGGTGGGTAACCTCCTTCTCTGCTGGAGAAGATGCATGAGCAGTGATCTCCATCTCTCCCAAACCTTTGGTGCCTGGAGTTTCCAAGGTCTCACATCCCCTGTGGCATGCAGGAGAGAAGGAACAGATCCCTGGGGTCTGACAGAGCAGAGAGAAGATCCCTGCAGAGTGGGGAGGGTGAGCAGAGGAGGGAAAAATGGGGACTGGAGGTGGTAAAGGCTTCCTGGACCAACCAGGTGACATCAGCCCTGAGCATCCCAGCCACGTGGCACATTCCCCGTGCCCCTGCCTACCTCGGGCACCTTGACTCGTCCCTCCTGGAAGGAGCAGGAGCTGGGGTCGTGGGTGCAGACGTGGCGATACTTGCACCAGTGGCACCGGTAAGGGCTCTCCACGCACGACAGGCACCTGGAAACAGAGACAGAGCTGGGTGCTGGCAGGGTGACAGCCTTTCCCAGAGGGAAATACAGCCTGGGAAATTATGTTTCTGCAGGAGGACACGGGTTTTGCACTGACCCGACACCACCAGGGCGCTGCTGGACTTGCCCCGGTCTGGGCTGGTTGTCGCTGGCATCTCATAGGATTAAATAATTTAGATTGTATTCATAACATTGCAGCTGGAGGAATAATAAATATTTATTGTATTTTGGTTGCCCTGGACACCTGCAGTTCCAGCTGGTTAATTCTCCCACACACGACGCAGAGGCCAGAGAAAAACGGGGATGAACTTGAGACAGAAAAACCAAAGATGAGGCAGGGAATTTTCTCCCCGTGCCTCACAGGTTTATTAGTATGAGTTCTGCTCAGGATGATGAGGCTCCTGAAAGTATTTTAACWGTATTCTTATTTTTTTCATCTGAGCAGAGAAGCAATGACTATTGGRGCAGCTGCCTGGGAAGCAGAGGGCACATTTGGGGCATCACCTGCTCTGGGTGTAGGACAGATCCATTCCCTCCATTTCACAAGGTCTGACTCTCCTGTGCCCCAGGGGCTGTGCAGAGTCAGAGCTGCAAACACCTCTCCTGGCTGTGTTACAGCACTGGCTTRGACCTGCATCACACTTGGTTTTAAATTTAATACGATATCTGCTCAGCAGTGACCAAACCCAGCTCTCTGCACAGCCCTGGTCATCCACACTCTGGAGACCTTCACAACAAAGACACTGAGGGGCTGGAGGGTGTCCAGAGAAGGGAATGAAGCACCAGGAGCAGCTGAGGGAGCTGGGAAAGGGGGAAAAAAAAACTGGGAAAAAAAGGGATCAGGAGGACCTTGTGGCTCTGCACAACTCCCTGACAGGAGGGGACAGCTGGGGGGGTCGGGCTCTGCTCCCAGGGAACAGGGACAGGAGGAGGGAAACAGCCTCAAGCTGTGCCAGGGGAGGTTTATACTGGATATTAGGATTTTTTTTCCATGGAAAGGGTTGTAAAGAACCAGCACAGGTGCCCAGGGCAGTGGTGGAGTCACCATCCCTGGAAGGCACTCGAGCACATGGGTTAATGGTGACCATGGTGKTGTTCACTTGGTTGGCTTYRATTTGGTGATCTCARAGGGCTTTTCCAACCTTAATAATTCTGTGGAGCTGCAGAACCTGGAGGGGACTTCGGGGAATTAAATTTTCCTGGTCCTTACGTGCCTCTGGGTTTTTAATGGGCAGCAGAGAAAAACCCAGACCCAGGGCGCCTGCCTGAGCCCAACAGGCAGACACAACCCCCTCTCCCCTGTCTCTGTGAAATCTCTCTCAAACTCCCATCCACTCTCAGCTCTGGTAGCAGCAACTTATCCTCCAAATTGGTAACAAGTGCTTGCTCTGATACATCGAATTAAAAATGGATAGCGTATTATAGTTTGTCAAGTAAGAAACCCAAACATGCCATAAATATTTAACAGMGCCATCTCTCCTGCTCTCCCCCCACCAACACTTGCTTTCTGACACTGTTTGTCAAAGCAGCAGGAACATGGAAATAGGATTTGCCTTTCCTTGTGAGTTGCTGAGCCGCAGTAATTATCTGCTTTTGGCACTTCTGAYGGCTCAGTGGTGGGGACAGAGGCGCTCAGCCTTGCTCAGGGGTGGATCAAGGGCATTTTTCGGCAGGGATCTGTGGATCTGCTCCACTGGGGCGGCTCCTGGGTGGCAGATAAACCCCAGGAAAGTGAGGTGTGAGGAGTGCATATCACAGGAAAGGTGGTCTGGAGGAAATCAGCTGGGTTTATATCATACCCTGCAGGAACTATAAGCTTTATTTTTCCAGATTGGAGGGTCCAAGTCCACATTAACCACCCAGGGCAGGCTACTGGTGCGACTGGCAGCATGGATAGAAGTTGGAGGTGCATATGAGGATCCAAACATCCACAGAAAAATGAATAATAGGAAGATAAGGGAAGATGTGCTGAGGCCACAATTCACTTTTCACCCAATTCTGTTGCAGACTGCCCCTAATTCAATACTCTGCTTGCAGAACAAGTGGTCCCCACACTCTGAGTCAGCTCAGGAGAGACCCACCATTCTGTCCACCATACAAATGACCCCATCCCTGGTCACCCCCACCTTCCTGAGGGACTCATGCCCATGAAAACCTGGTACCAAAGGAAATGAACATACGAGTTGTGGACGCTGCAGTTGTAGAAGACGAAGCTGGTGCTGGCAAAGGTCATCCCCGTTTCCTTGGACTTGAGCTGAAGCTGGACAATGTGATGGTCACCTGGGGGATAAACAGACACAGCAGTGTGTGACTGCTTTGTTAGCCCAGTTAAGCCCAGCTGGCCCACAGCACCTTGGCTTGTTTGCCCTCAATTGATGTAAAAAAATATCATAAAACTCTACTAGAGCCCAGTTCTCTCAGAGGTACAGCTCCACCTCTTATGGAGTGATGGAGTGTATCTTCAAAACTGGAAATTGTTGTACCTGGGGGCAGAGTCTGGGCTGGAGGAAGAGAGCTGGTCTAGACCAAACCTCCCTAATTTCAAAAATGTGGTGGCTGAATTCATCAATTTGGAAAGTGAAGCTCAAAGAATGAGTACAGATATCTGGGATTTGGAGGCCATTAAAATATGATTTCGTCCTGAAAGTTCTTCCATGCTGCTGGTTCATTAAATATTTCCAGAAAAATAGGGTCTGTGGGCACTCACCCCGTTCACCCCAAGGTCCATGCCCTCCTCCTGTGGCTGCAAAGAGCCCATCTCAGTGTGAGAAATGTGCAACCCACTGCACTTCCAGGAGGATCCATCCATTCCTGCAGCAGACCCATCTGCCCCTCAGCTCCTCCACACCATTTCCTCATCCCTTTTCCCACTGCTCCCAGGCTGGGAAGTCACCTGCTGCCTCTTCCCACGGCACCAAACCCCTAATTCAGTGAGGACAATGAGAGGGTTCAGCAATTGCAGTGATTTGGTGGGGAAGTGACCCTGGTTTAATTCAGGTTTAATTACCTGGRTGGCCCTTTCCCTGCAAAAGGGCATGGAGAGATGGGAMAAGGGGGAATGGCYTTAAGCTGAAGGGTGACAGGTTTAGATMAKATATTGGGAAGGAATCCTTCCYTGTGAGRGTG